CCCCAAAACCCCAAAACCCCAAAACCCCAAAACCCCTCAATTAATTCTGCTACATAATTAATACATTCAGATTTAAAAGGAAATGGCTGAGAACACAGGAAAGATATCTTACTTTATCATCTCTAATGATGACATTGCAAGCAAGGATGAGGCACAACCCAACCAAGTAGAAGACAAGATCGTTAACGGGACTACTAAAGATAAGATTAAGGCACTCAAGATCTTGATAAGAATGATCACTAATGATGAGAACTATCCAAGAATGATCATGTCTGTACTAAGATTCGCCCAAGTGTCCGAAGACCATCAGATTAAGAAGCTGTGTTTGCTGTATTGGGAAGCTGTTGAGAAAACAAATCCTGATGGTACCACTAAAGGAGAAATAACCTTGGCATGTAATTTACTGAGACAAGATTTACTATCCTCTAATGAGTTTATTAGAGGAAGAACTCTCAGATTGGTTTCAAAGATCCCAGTTCAAGATGTCTTAGAGGCTGTCATCAGTGCGGTCAATGAGAATATCTCCCACAGGCACTTCTATGTCAGAAGGAATGCTTTGATGTGTCTATATTCCATCTACCAACATATCGGAATTGAGCTTCTAGAAAACTCATCCAGCGAGATCTATCAACAGCTGTTGAATGAGAATGATATCTCCACCAAAAGAAATGCATTTATTATACTATTTTGCATTGATCAAGAAGAAGCCATTAACTACTTGAAAACAGTACTTTCAGGGGCAGACGAAGATGTATCAGAGCTAGGAGACATTTTCCTTCTTTCTGTAATTGAGGCTTTAAGAAAAATGTGTAAGAGTGATCCAACTCAAAAGCCAAGACTTATGAATGCTATTTTCATTATCTCTCAGAGCACCTCTCCTTCTGTTCTCTATGAGTGTGCTAACACCATCACTCAGCTCACTTCCTCCTCAGCTGCCATCAGAGTAGCCCTTCAGGCTTATCTGACTCTATTATCTGAGCAAAATGACAACAATGTCAAATTAATCATTTTGAACAAAATTATCGAACTAAAGGAGAAATATTCCAAACTCCTTGAAGACTGTATTGTCGAGATTCTATCAGTTGTAAAGAACTCATCCAGCCATGAAATAAGAAAAAGAGCACTTGACCTTGCCACCGACCTGATCTCTCAAAGAAACAAGCTTGATGTCATTGGGTTCTTAGAAAAAGAAATTAAATTTGCTTCCAAGGAACTTGATGAGAAAGAGAAGTCAACTCATGAATACAGGACTTTCATTATTAGAAAAGTCAATGATGTAACAGTGCAATATCCAGATACTATTCCAGCTATCCTCCAAGCACTGCTGAGCAACTTTTTGTGCCTACCGCCACATGACCAGAATGATAGTGCTCTCGAAAGCGCCATTTTTGTTAGAGAAGTCATGGAGAGTCACAGTACCTTCAGAAAAGATGTTGGAGACTCCATAAGACAAAACCTATATGAAATTAGATCCCCAAAGGCTCTCAGAGTTCTCCTCTGGTGTCTTGGAGAATACTCTGAGTCTGAAGATGATATTACAAAATCTTTTGATTCTATTATGGAAAATATAGGTTCTCTTCCTATCAAGCATAGCACCAAGAAGGTGTCAAAGAAGGATAAAGAAGACAAAACACCTGAAGAGACTAAGAGAGCCGTCGTCAAGACAATCACTCTTCCAGATGGATCATACGGAACAGAAACAATTTACGTAGATGAGCACAAAATTCAAGATAATAATGAAGATGATGAGCCCAAGTATCCTCTTCGTAAATTCATTGAGTCTGAAGAGTTCTTCCTATGTGGTGTTCTCAGTTTATGTATTTGTAAGCTGATTATAAAAATGAAGAAGAAGTTGAACAAAGCATTCAAGAAGATGAGTGTAGAATCTTTGATTTTCTTCTGCTCATACCTCAAAATTCATCAAGAGAACAAAAAGCTTGACCCTGATAATAAGAATAGAATTGCTCTATGCATTAAACTTCTTTCAAATCTATCTAAAACTCCAACCACAGTTATGGAGAAAATCATCAGTGGAGAGGGGAGAAAGATCTTATCATCTATCATTGAAACCAAGGTTGAGCAACTGGAGAAAAGAAAGCGCAATAAATTAGCCCAGAAACAAAGCGATATCTCTATCCAACCTGACGAAATGATTCATTACAGGCAGCTTAGAGATGAAGAAGCTGGCGAAGCAGATTTCGAATTTGAAATCGGCGCTGCTGACCTCACTTCTGAATCTGAGTTGGGCTTTCTCAACTCTAACAAGAAGAAATCAGATGGCGAGGTGAGAACTTATCAGCTCACTGGTCTCTCAGATGATATCTATGTAGAGGGAAGATTGGAGATCCACCAATACGACTTGATCCTGAATTTACTTTTGGTAAACAGAACTAAGAATACTCTCCCAAGTGTGAATGTCACACTCCTCACGCTTGGAAGTATCAAGGTTGTTGAGAAGCCTATCACCACAAATCTAAAGGGATACTCTTCAGAAACAGTGAAGGCTTCATTAAAGGTATTTAATACTGAAAGCGGAGGAATCCATGGATATGTAACTTATGAGTCTGTTAATCCAGTATCTATACCTCTCGACGGGATAGAAATTGACTTCATGGACAGTCTTCAGCCAGGAGATTGCACAGATGCTGAGTTCAAAAAGATGTGGGCTGAATACGAGTGGGAGAATAGAATCTCAGTCAATACTACGTTGACGGATATTGAAGAGTATATTGAGAGTCTCCAGAAGAAACTGAACGCTAATAGATTAACTCCCCTCACAGGTAAAGAATCTGGATTCCTTGTGACCACCTTCTACACTAAGAGTAAGTTCAACGAAGATGCTCTACTCAATGTCAGCATTGAGAAGACCAAAGAAGGTAAGATCAGCGGTTTGATAAGAATCAGAGCAAAGACTGAAGGGATGGCTGGCTGTATTGGAACCAGAATTAAGTAAACTTTACTACTCGACTTACATTCAATTTAGAACCATTGAAATGGGGTTTTGGGGTTTTGGGGTTTTGGGGTTTTGGGG